TCTCATGCAGTAAAAATTCTAAAGACTAGGAATAAAGTGAAGGCAGAAAAGAAGACGAGGAGAAAGATAACAGGAGCTCATATCCTGCTTTCTAAATAGTTTTCAGGGTCTGCCAGCTCCAGTGGTGACAGCAAAATTTTTATCAACATCTCCATGAGTGCACACAGCTGTGACTGAAGATTAAGAAAACACAAAGTTGTCCCACTGAATTAGGAGAGTTAGAGCAGCCACGTTGAGACGGTCACTCCCATCACATCAGGACACGTTTTACCACCTCATCCAGTCAGGTATAACTGTTGGCTGCCCTTGGAATCTGTCTGTCCCAAGGTATGTGCTCTTTTCCTCCCTCCAAGAGCAATTAAGGTCAAGCAGAAGGAGGATCCTAATACCTGTTTAGCTTCATAACTCTGCTTAGCCACTGATTTCCTCCACCCCCAATTTTTCCCAACAGTTCAGAAAGGTAGGAATTCATAATGTCTTCATTCACTAGATACGATGTAAGGGAGTGGGAGGTGAGAACAAAGTAATTTCACCATTATTTTTATCTATTGCTACAATGTGCCTCTCCCCCCAGTCTTTTTCATAGAAGCAGTGAAACTGAAGCAAGACATGATTTGATTATTATTTGAGAATTATAATTCACTTTCATGCTATCAAAAAGGTAGTCCATTAAAAAGTTAACCTCTAAACCAGCTCTTTGTACATATATTAACCTGAAGATTAAGTCCCATACCTGTTCTTGTGTAACTGAATTAAGAATATTTCACTTGGTTTGCAGAAATTATTCTTCCAGTTCTCTTTAGGACTGGGAATGATTACTGTCCATTTCTTCTTCTGCTAGGTACAGGGGGAAAAAAAAAATTAAAATCCCAAACACACAGATAAAAGAAAACCCCTCCCTCATAACTTTCTTCATTGAGATAAAAAAATATTCTCTATTCATATAACACAAAAACTTTGTGTTAGCTGCAGAGACTCTTACATAGCTAAACCCCAAGAGTTAGTACAGGTAAGAGCAGAAATTAACTCTTATTAGAAAGCTCTAAAGGTTAATTTGGAAAAGAAGAAGCTGCTAGAAAATGTAATGAGGCCTCAGGATAAATGAGACTATGACAGATAGTTCTGAGGATGTAATGCTTAAATTCAGTTTCCACTGATATAATGTAACCCTGCTGAAGTTTGGGCATATAAAACTTTTTGATAGGTGCCAACCTTTCTTTTCAGCATGCAATGGAATTCCTGCAAGAAATGTTGAATCAGATCTTTAGACACTTTCATTAAAGTCTTTATCAATTCCAATGGTAAATAGCAGATTTTTAGAATTAAACTTTGTCTCAGGTATTTCTAACAATATTTAAGCTTTATATCAGTACAGATCCAGCTAGCAAAACAAAATATGTATAGAATAGCTATAATATCTACTAATCGAGTTTAAATTATATTCTACAGATTATTAAAACCAAAAAGTCTTAAATTTGCACCCAAAATATAAAGTTTGTTAAACCATACTATCAGCAAGACTTAAGGAGAAGAGGAAAAAAGTTACTTCTACAAACCTGAAAGATTCTGAAAGGGCTGAGAGTTTTATTCACTATTTCTAGTCAGTTTGAGAATGTCATATTGGAGGTTATCAAGCTAACTGCACTCAAAAGAAGAGATCAAGACATAAACCAGATCAATACCTAAACAAACTACATTTCACATCATATCAGCATAATGGGAAAGTGTTTAAAATGATCTTTCACTGAAAAGCTTAACAGGCATGAGCCTGGTGTCTGCAGCATCACTCTTTCAGAACAGTCTTAATCTAAAGTCAGTCTTAATGGGGGTCACCAAAGCCTAGGAAAATGTGGAATTATGGAAAGGCACGACTAGGGATGCCTTTGTGCAGCAAAATCTATTATAGAAATGTAGCATAATTCATGCCTCTAAGGGAGGCTGATCTAGAAAAGAAAAGAAATCTTCATTGGACATAAGAGTTACAAAGTCAAATACATTTCTGTGTTTTTCTCTAAAGATTTATTGCTACTGACTAGTATCACTGTTCTTTATAGATGTGCAAAGCACAGAATGCCTATGCATTTTTTGTACAGACCAGTATAGCCAGTCACAGTGAGTTTGCAGAAGGTACTACATGTGCTTGTATCAGAGACGCAGAAGAATAAACTAGGAAGTCTTAGCTCAAATTCAGGTCAGAATTAATATCAAATAACCAGCCCTGAACTACTTAATTACTAAATGAGCAGAGCAGGTCATTGATACGAAAAATTTATTTAGCATTAATTTTATCTCTAGAACACTTGACCCAAAGGCCCTGGCAGAATTTTAGGTGGCACTGGGCTGAACTAACACCTGAAGGATCTGTCTCAGAGCTGTTAAATTAATTGCTAATGTACATAAATATTAATAAATTAGTATAAATATATAAATTGTGTTCAAAATGAAGCCTTGTAATTCGGTTTTAGTGATGGAAATGTTATAGCTCTGCACTTTCTGGACAAACTGGGGAATCTCCAGATCAGACCAACACATAAAAGAAGTTTAGAAAGTGACTACAAGGGGAAAAAAAAGAAACCAGGCCTATTCACTCTAGAAACAAAAAAAGAAGATCAAGCTAAACAAGTGAGCTGATAAGGAGCTTGCAGAATCTCCTTAATTTTAAATTCTTAAGAACCAGTTAAACCAAGTTTACACAGAGTATTTATAATTCATCACAGCCCTTGAGCAGGGGATGTGCTTTTAGAAGTTTCTTCCAGTCTTGTACTTCTAGAATTAGTGACTGTTAATACGATCTCAACACATTTCTTCTCCCAAATCCTACACAGACATGTGAAACAAAACTGTACGGCAGTTTATGAATAGTTTTTCTAACTGTAAAAGTAGCAATGGAGTCTAAAAGCGCTTATTCACTGTGAATTAGCAGGGCCACCACTGACAAAAACCATTCACAGAAAATTGAAAATATGTAACACTGAAGAAATTAATATGATTTCTCAAAGGAAAACTGAAAAGTAAAGGTTAAAACCCCTCCCTTGTCTTCTGATCACTTTAATTCCTGTAACATACATTACATAAAGCCAGATTGCACAGCTTTTGTCAGCATTTGCAATGCATGTCTGTGAATACATCAGAAAACATTTGATTCAAGGCCTTCCCCTCCCTTGACTGAAGAATTGACTGTGCAGGCGAGTGGGAAGTCTCTATTTTCAGATGATGTTGTTAGGTCAAGCACGAGAAAAATACCTTCTAAATGTCATACTTTTTTTTTTTTTTTACAGAACTTTAGATGCAGTCTGCCGTGAAAGCTGTCTTTCTGACCTCAAGATAAGGCAAGCTACATCAATTTCAATGTTTGGAATATCAACCCAACTATTTTCCTTTTAGCAGGCATTTAGCTTTTAATTTGAATTTCTGCCACAGAGCAATACTTTTTTTTTCCATAAGCCAAAGCAGAAACAATCTATAGCTCATACACTCTTCTGAAAGCACAGAAGCTGTGTTGGGATTATGGTGTCAATTTTCCAGTGATTCAAAGCACCTCCAACCACTCCTGAATATACTTCTGCAGTAAGTATCAAATGACATCCAGCAGTGGCTCTCTGCACACATTCTCCTTGTAAGAAATTATTTCAGTGCTTTTCTCTTCATACTTTTTGTAATTTTCAACTGAAATTGAATTGGTTAGAAAATAAAATGTTTTGACTTTAAAATCTCATCTTTCTCTAAAAGTTGACGTCTCAATTAAATGAAAGTCTAAGATTTCCCAGATCCACCTAAATCCTATGTCCCTGTCATTCAAACATTAACAGGGTGTGAGACTGTCTTCCTGTTACTGTAACTGTAAATACAGCCATCCAGAAAGACTGGCCAATTGTTCTGAAAAGGTCTTGATTCCACTTAAACTGACTGAAGATTTGCTTAATGACTCCTAACAATTATTATTTGAGCAGACAGTACCTAGAAATTTAATTTAAACTTTTCACGTGATTATTTACTATTTTTAAGAACAGCCTTTTTTCTTTTAGGTCATTGGTTGTAAAAATCGCTAGTATCTATAAAGCTGTCTCCAAAGCAAATAGTGGAGGGACACATAGACAAACAATTCAACTACCAGCTTTGCAAGGACTTTGTAAGGTTATCATCTATCCCTTACTCCAAGAACCTGGCAACCCTAGGGACACACAGTGGTGTCCCTTTCCGTACTTTTAAGATTTTGTCACAGCACCCAATTCCCTGAGTTCACAGGACAGGTCAGGTTGGAATAGACTACAGTGGGTCACCTGCTCCAACCTCCCTGCTCAAGCAGAGTCATCCCAGAGCACATGGCACAGGACTGCATCCACATGGATCTTGAATATATCCAATCAGGGAAACCACAACCTTTCTGGGCAACATGTTCCAGTGCTTGATCACCTATATCGTCAAGTTCATCCTCATATTCTGCTGGAACTTCCTGAGCATCAGTTTACACCTGCTGCCTCTTGTCCTATTGCTGAGCACCAGCCAGAAGAGCCTGGTTACATCCTCTTGGCACCCTCCCTTCGGACACTTACAGACATTTATGTGGTCCCCCCTCAGCTGCCTCTTCTCAAGGCTGAATGAACAGGCCCAGCCCCCTGAGCCTTTCCTCGCAAAAGAGATGCTCCAGTCCCTTGATCAACTTGGTATCGCTAAGGAGGTCACTCCTACGCTACCATCGCTGAAGTCAAAATCCCTCTGGTGAGGGTCCCAACCTGCCAAGGCGCTTTCCTGTGCTCTTTAAAATAACCTCTAAAAAGCCGTAACTTCAGGGATTCGCACGCAGCTCAAGATCTGTCCTTGATGCCGCCCGGGCTTTAAAAAGGCAGCTTTACCCTCGCACCACGGGGGACGCACAACGAGGGGCCCGGCTCTCTCAGGCAAATCCCGCCGCTCCCAACACCGCCAGGACGCGCCGGGAGGGGCGGAAGGGACGGGGGAGGGCTGAGGGGAGGTGGCACCGGGGCGGGAGCTCAGCCGAGCCCCGCCCGCGCCCCGCCCTCCGGCGCTGGCCTTCGCAGCCGGGAAAGGCTGGGAAGATGTTGGAGACGCTGCGGGAGCGGTTGCTGAGCGTCCAGCAGGACCTCACCGCCGGGTGGGTATCGCCTGCGGCACCGCGGGGCTGGCGGGGGCAGCGGGAGAGGAGCCCGCGTCCCGCAGCCCGGCAGGGCAGGGGGGGAAAGCAGGTGACCGGGGGCCGGGGAGGCGTGGACTGGCCCGGGGAGGGAGGAAGAGGAGGAGATTGCGCAGACGGGAGCCACTGCCGGGGTCTGTCACCCGGGGTGCCCTCCTGAGTGCGGGGACGGGCTGGAAAGGCGGCTCCAGGGTCCCGAATCCCGCCGTGTTCCCGCCTGGGCTGGGCGGCTGATGGCGGGCTGGCGAGCCCTGCGGTGCCGCGGGCAGCTCTGGGGAGCAGGAGGAGGAGCCGCGGTGCCCGGGAAGCAGCTGCGGTCAGGGGAAGGAGAGAGAGAGAGGGACAGACAGACCGCTGTTGTGAGAGAAGATGTGAATGGGGTCAATTAACGCGCTTGAATTTTTTATGAAGTTACCGGCCTTCGAGGTTTCATGGATCAGCGTGATCCCGTAAAGAGCTTTTCTGGGCGCCGCTTGGTGTGTGGAGAAACTTGCTTTTCCTTGAAAGATGAGTTACTTGGGGAAAAGGAGCGCAGGATAAACAGATGGAACAGCCCCACGCTTGCACTAAAAAGTAGAAATATATTCTTCCTGCGTTGTCTCACAAGGTTTATTTGGGTAGGCCCCGTGTCGGTGCTGTTTTTAGTACGAGCAGGTGGCCCTGGAAGTGTCACTGGAAGCCAGCGAGTGGCCGAAGGACAAGGTCATGCCTGTGCTGCAGAGCTGATGGCTCATGATGAGCCACCGGGGAGTATTGTGTTTAATCAATTACTTTTAAAAACTGTGTGGTCTTTGGCAGTGTTAAGGCTGCCTTATAATATCCCTATGGTAAATATTTCTATAAAGTGAGGAATGTCTGTGTACTCCAGAAACATAAAATAAGCAGTTTATCATTATTTACTTGTATACCAGTGTATGATGGTCAAGAGAAACTGATAGAAGAGGCTGCCAGTCAAACAGATAAATTTCTTGCATGTTACCTGTCTCATCTTACCAAACACCAACTGAATATTAAACTGTCTTAAAAATACAGACAAAAGCATTGCTTTATTTCTGTCTGTCTTTCTCTTTTGCTTCTCAGAAGAGTTGATATCTCAGTACAGTGTAAGGCTCTTTTGAAAAGGGTGTTTTTCACATGGTGAAAGAGAACAACAGGAAGGTCATAACATGCCAGATCTGAGGGTCATTTAACTCTGTGGTTCTGCATTTGTGTTTTTCATATTTGCTGCAGTGGAATCAGTATATTTCCATGAATTTTGCTTTCTTCCTGGTGTTGCAGTGTTTTGTTCTGAGAACAGTCCCTGATTTCATAATGTCCATCTTTGTGTTTTGGCAGCTCCATTAATGTGCCCTTTTTCCTGTCTTTAAGTGGTATTTTCATCTGTGGTGTAATATCTTTTTTTTTTTTTTTCTTTTTTTTTTTTTTTTTTTTTTTTTGGTTTTTTTTTTTTTTTTTTTTTTTTTTTTTTTTTTTTTTTTTTTGTTTTTTTTTTTTTTTTTTTTTTTTTTTTTTTTTTTTTTTTTTTTTTTTTTTTTTTTTTTTTGGTTTTTTTTTGGTTTGGTTTGGTTTTTTTTGCCATCAGGAACCTGTATCTGAGAACCACAGTGGCAGAGGCTGTAGTGGAAGGGATTTTTTTTCTTTTAGTGTCCCCATGTAGCCAGAGCACAAGTTGGCCTGGTTTGCCCCCTCTTCCTTCCTAGACCGTGCACCCTAATTTCTTGGTGTTTTGGATTACTCTGTTCTGCACCCCACCAAAGTGGTAAAAAAAGTCATTTTGTGATGTTGAGACTTCAGATTAAAATTGTATAATTCTCAAAACCCGAAGAAAGTATTTTTGGTGTCAAGTTGTGGCTAACTTGTTAACTACACATAAATGCTTGCGAAGTAGAACAAGTTGAATTTCATGAAATTGCGAGGGGGAAGGTATTCCAGGACTTCTAAGAAAATAATATCACTTCCTGAGGAGTATGGGAACAAATATGTATTGCTGAAAAAGGTTAAATCTGGGTTGTGTGGTTTAAAGAGAGCAGTTTAGCCATTTCTGTGGCCTCCTTCCTTGCTCATTTGTGTCTGCTCTCTAAGTCTACGTGTCCTGTGAGCAGGGTATCTAAATTTTGACCCATTCACCTGTTAGCAAGCTTTTGCAGGCAGAGGAAAATCCACCAAAACGGATGCAGAAGAGTGCTTCTGTTTCAGGCTGGGCTGCATAAGTGGGGAACATGGCAGTGGAGAAGGGCAAATTGCACGGCTTTCCTCAGCAGTGGGTTCTTCCTCAGCGTGCTGTGGTTGTTGCTACTTGGCCTGGCTGTTATAAACCGCTCTGTAAGAGGGAGTGGAGACCTGCCTTAGCATGTCTTCTCTCGAATTGTAAACCACCGGGGGTGCTGTAGAGCTTTGATGTTTCTTTGAGTTCCTGGAAAATTGATAAAGACTGGGGGAGTGATTTGACTACCCCTCAAAGCAGCCTGAATATCTGTATATTAGGTTGTTTCCCAGTCCCTGGGTCACTCAGGATTACAGATCTCTCTGTCATGTGTGGAGGATGTCTTTGGCTCTTGTAGTTCATGTCCATCTTGCTTATGTCTGTGTCATTTGTTTCTTACTGTCCTGAGCAATAAAACTTTTTTTGTGACCACAAAGGGCCTAGAAATTGAGGACAGCCATTGCCTGGGTGGTCAGGGAATAGCCAGCAGCTTTGGTTCTCACTGTGTCAGCTTGACTAGCATATATATATATTATATATATATATATATATATATATGTATAATATATATCTTGACTGATAGAGTGGAAAGAGTTGGGGGAATGGTTGGTTGGTTGGTTTGGAGGTTTTTGGGGTTTTTTTGCTTTTGAGGAGCAATATACCAATCAGTTTGAAATAGACTGTGTGTGAAAGAAGCCTCAGATAGGCTCAGTAACAGTGCACTGTGGTGATGCTGCTGGGGGTTCTGAAAGCTGGCAGAAGAAAAGTTGTGCTTCTGCTGGTTTTGTGTTGGCAGACTTATGGCAGGTGGGCACATGTGTATGTCATGCTTTTCCTTGTCACAAGAGGAAAATGGTACATTCTTCCTGTAAATGGTATTCCTCAGGGCTGGATTGGTTATTTCCAGGCAGGTCTTTAGTTCCTGTCTGCTAAGAAAATTGTATCAAGAGGTGGATGACTTGTGTACACAACTCCCATTAAACATTTTATTCTGAATTGCCTGATGCGCTTCTGCAAAAAATCTAAAGGTTTAGCAGCAGTCTCAATGGAAGTAAATTCATATGAGGGTCTCCACAAAACTAAGGGCAATTTGATTTATTTCTGAAACAAGCTGAAACAAAATTAACTGTAATAGACTGGAATTAACAGAATGTTTTCAAACAATTTGTTCTCTGTTTTTGGTGTTCCAAATGTCTGATGGATTTGTGTTTTGATTTGTAGGTTGAAGACTTTGGGCGACAAATCAAGAGATGCAAAGAAAAGTAGGCAAAGGTACTTCTGAATGTCTTAATATATAGCATTAATATAAGATATTCTTGATAAGGAAAAATTTGAAGTGGCTCATATATATGAGCAAATTGCAAGAACATTTGCATATAATTTTACAAAATGCTATTTTGACAACAGAGAAGCTTAACCAAAGCAAATGCATTGCTTAATACAGCCTTCATTGATAAATAATTTCTAATGGCTTTCAATCAGTTTATAAATTGCTATTTAAATTAAATGAATATGCAGTGTTATTGTAGTACCTCATAGAAGATTCAGGTTGTGCTACACTGAAATGTAATTGTTTACAATCTCTGTGAATCTCATGTCCTAAAATTGTACGTCAGGGGTTTTATTTTAGTGTAAAAACAGAAATAGGAGCCTTTTTATTGTGGAAAATATCTATGTAATGAAATATTTCAGTTTTCTGTTTTAAGAAGTTTTGATAATTGTGCTGATGTGGTTTTCTTTCTTTCATTGATTTGAAGGTTTTTTTTCATCCTCTGCATTTTAGTTCTTTGCTCATTTTTTCAACCTGTATAAGCTGCAGGGAAAGAGTACTTGTTGTCTGTAAATGAAGTCTGTGAGAGTTACTTCTTAAAATCAGATATGCTTTAGTGTAAAGCATGTTCTTATTAAAACATACTATGTAGACACAAATTAGTTTAAAAACAAGCCAAGTGGTAAAAATAAAGCATCTGAAATAAACTGGCCTAAGTTCTAATGTTCTGATGTTTTAGATATATATATATATATATATATATTTTTTTTTTAACAGAGGACTAGTTGTATGGACAAGCCATGGAGGCTAAACTAAGAATGGGTGAAGGTCTGAATAAAACTATTTTAGGCATCGCCTTCTCTGTGTGTTTCCAGTCCATAGTACTTTGGTTCTTCTGGAGTACTGTTATAAATATCCATTGCTTTTTGAGGCAAGCACTGGGTGAACCAATTGAAGGATCAGAAACAGGGGAATGCTGGGGTGGCTTCTGCTTTGCTGATAAAGTTCAGGGACAAACACAGCTCAGCTTGATTGTAAGGATGGCTCAGGGCATATGGATGGGAGCCAAGGAGAGGCCACTGAGGGTGGTGGTGTTGCAAGGGGAGTTTGTCACTGACCCTCTGACCAGGGAGAGAAATAACTTATGGAAGCTTCTGTATCATTAAACCCATATTCTTGTGGAGGCCTTTAGCTTCCAGCTCCTGAAAGGACAACCCATCAGTATGCAGTCAAGAAGTGCCCTGGGAGGGTGTCGAGGATAACTGTTTGATGCCTCTTTATGACCTCTTTGGCATGCTGGAATAGCCTTAGGAAAGCCAGAGCTCACCTGGAACTGACATTTGCAAGACATGTCAAGGACAAGAAGAGCGACTAGTCCTGCGCTGGTAATAGAAGGCTGAAAGAAAACGTGGGATTGGTGATGAATGGGCTGAATTACAGCAAATGTAGAGGTTGTTGAGTTATTTAATGCCTTTGTGGCTTCAGTGCCTTGTGCTTAGTGAAAGGTGTCGAGGACACTGACCAGTAGTGAGTGAAGATGGCTTGAAGATACTCAATCCATAAAAGCCCCTAGGACCATATGTGCCAAGAGGTATCTCATGAAAATCAAGAGGTACAAATTCCATGTTTCCCTGTGAAGAAAGTAGCCCCTGCAACAATGCAGACTGGGGCTGACAGACTCTCTGGGAAGTAACTTTGCTAAAAAGACCCTGGAGATCTTGGCAGACAGCAGGCAGAATGTGAGCCAGGGACATGCCTTGCAGCAGGGAAGCCCAACAGCTAATGAGGCTGCAAACAATACCCAGACAGTGGGATTGAGGAAGGTGATTGTACCCTGCATTCAGCACACCTTAGACCACTAACTTCCCTGTCCAGTTTGGTCCCCAGTTTGAGAAAGGTGTTAATATTCTGGAGAAATTTAGTGGAGGGCCACCAGAATGGTTGGGGCAGGAACTCTGTGTATGAGGAAAGGCTGAGATGTTCAGCCTGGAGCATAGGTGACTTCTGGGAGACCTAGCAGCAGCCTGCCATTACATGTGAAGTGGTTATTGAGGAAACTGGTGTGTGGTGGAAACTCAAAAGATGGTAGGCATAAGTTGAAACAAGAGATGATCAGACAGGAAAAGCTGAGAAAAGTTTCCTGAGAAAGCTGCTTTGATCTCATAGCTGGTTTTAACAAGGGACTGCAATAGAAACTTCCTAAGGTCCCTTTCTACTTCACTGATTCTGTCACTTTTCCATTGCCTTAAGGACAAGGAAGTTTAATTTATGATAGGCCTTTTTTTTCCCCATTCAAATTGTTTGGATGATAGTGCAGAACAGTCTATTTGGGTGATCTTCCAAGAGACAAATTTAGGATGACATCACAATCTTCGCATCCTTAGAAGTACTGCATTGTTCATTTTGTCTAACTTATAATAAGATGTCTTTATACTTCAAGCTGTTATTAATGGTAGTGTCTGCATTGAATAGGAGATCATTAGAGCATTAAACTGCCAAAGGTTCCTTAGCACAGTATTTATTTTTAGTGTAGAATATATTAAGTGGAATATCTGTATTGAGGGACATGAACTTGTGTAGTAGTCTTTTTTTTTCCCAGAATATTTCTGTGCCCTTTTTTAGGTTAAAATTACATTCATCCTATATCTTTGTTAAGTGTACTTAGACATTATTGAATAAAACTTGTTTTTAATGGACACGGTTGAGAAGAGGTAAGAATAGGCTGTCATAAAACAACAGGGGAAAAAAGCAATCCTAGCTTTGGAATATTCTTGTATTCTTGTGAGATACACTGTGTAATGCATTTTAAACCAAAATTGGCAAAATGTTTGTGAAAGTAGGAGCAGGAGGAAACATTTCTGTGCTCAGCATATCTGTCAGATGTGTGCGCGCACATTTTTTATAACACCCTTCTTTTCTTTAACAATTTTGTACATTTGCAATTTGCTTTATAGAACTGTTCAGTGTTTGCCAGAGTTTTCTGCTGGACTGGAATTACTAAGCAGGTATGACCTTCCTTTTCTTTATTAGTGTTTGCTTCCTATATTAGATTTAAAAAATCTGATTTCTTAAGAAAGAAATTAGAGAGGAAAGTCAAAGTGTTGCTAATAGGTTTTTGGTTGTTCTGCAGTTAGTAGTGTGGGAGTGATAATAAATGATAAATGTGTTTAAAGCTTGCCCAATCCCAAAGTGCTGTCATGTTAATGAAACTGAAGTTCTGGAAGAAAAGTTGCATTTAAAAGATGACTTTAGTCAGTATCCTAATGCAGAGGGGTGAAGGAGGCCAGCACTGAGCCCTAGTCTGTGGTTTCATAACTTAGACATATTTGAACCAATTTCTTTTTTTTTTTTTTTTTTTTTAATTGGAAGGGGTATACGTATGATTACAATCTTGAATCTTGTTAATTTTTAAAATTTTCTTAATTAATTTGAGTTCCAAGTGATGTTTAAGGTGGTGAGTCGTCTTGTAAGTATTGTTTGGTCCATTTAGCTTTTAATGTCAGTTAGGAGGTTAAAAAGCATGGATCACTTTTTCTTTAAAAGACATTTCTCACTGTATATTTGTCTTGGCAGAACAGTAAGTACTGGAAAGAATTACACAGCTTTTTAAGCTCTAATTTCTGGTAATACCTGTAAATATAAGCACAGTGGCATCCATGAATTCCTTTGTAAGGAGAGTGCAGTAAGAATAGTAATTTGTCTTCGCTTCAGGTATGAAGATGCTTGGGCTGCCCTTCATAAAGGAGCCAAAGATTGTGCAAAAGCTGGAGAGGTAAGAAAAAAATAACAATGCCATGCATGAAATATTTTAAAATATGTAAATAATTTTAAACTAAAATTTTTAGTACCAGCCTACAGGGTTATTAACCTTGGCTCCCAGGTAAACACGCACACAGCCTTGTTCACTCTCACAGTAATGTAGACAACAATGTAATGCAAATGTGAAATTGCAAATAATGTGATGCAATGTAAACAGTTGCAAAGATGATGTTGTATGTTACTGCTGTAGCTCTTTAAAAGCAGTGGGGGATGGCTGTGAAAGTACAGAATGTATTTGGGGTTGAGGCATCTTAGTGGTTTGTATCAGGGCAGGGCTGTGGCACTGACTGCTGCCCATTCCCAGTGCAGAAGACAGCAAGATTGGCTTGCCCAACTGAAAATATTTGGGAAGTGTTTGTGCTTTCTCCTAATTTCATTCACTATTCCTGCCCTGGAAGCAAAGTGACAAGTTGTGTGGTTTATCTGTGGAATGAAAGAAAAGGAAACTTCCAGTAAGTGTTACCAATGCATTACTCAGCACCAGACTTTCAGTTTCAAGCCATGTTTAAAGGGCAGACAGTGTAACCTGGGTGGAGATTGCACAGTGCAGAGCAGGACTGAGCTGTGGGATTCTCTGTCCTGTCTGAAACCTTCACTTTGGCTGGGTGCATCCTTCCTGGCTCTTCTCTTCACTTAGAGACTTCTCTGTATCTTTTCTATAATGGATAAATCACTCACTGTGTATTTACAGTATGAAAGGAAGTCTCTTACGTTCTTCTTTCTGTTGCCGAATGGTTTGGCCCTGCTTTTCCCTGCATTCCAGTGGAAACTTCAGGCACTGGATATAGAGTTCTCCTTGCCAGTTTGGCATGTTTTCCTGCTCATAATGGTTTTTGTTTTGTTCTTTTTTTTTCTAGAAAATCTCATAAATGATGTGGTCACAATTTTATAATACTTGCTATAGTTTGCTTTAAAAATTCTAGATTTGAAAACAATGTGAGGTTTCATATATATTAAACTAATATAACCTAATCTCACATGTTATAGCTGCTTGGGAAAATGAGAATGAAAGACTTACAAAAAGACTTACATTTTCCTTTAAATTCAGATATTTATTTTACACACAACTCAGTGTATGTATTGCTTGTGGAGTTTTTTTTGTTACTTTTTTTATAAAAGGGGAAAATAAAAACTGTGTAAGCACAGAAGGTTGACTGTACTGTAGAAGACCTAAAGGTCCACTCACTTGTCCAGTATCCTGTTTCTGCTTACTTGTGCTGTCTTATTTATAAATGTTGAGTAAAGTGAAAATTTCAGGCTTTAATTGCAGCTTACAGTCTTACCATGCTAAATGGTAGATGTTAACTACCAGTTCCCTGTACAAAATCGTCCTTTTAGATGATTGTCATTTCAGCTGCATTCAGTTATCTCGGGGCTGAAATGTTTGTGGTGTTTGTCCCCATCTCATGGTGGCTTGTTTTGGGTTGTTGGGTTTTTTTTTTGTTTTTGTTTTTTGTGAGTTTTGTTTTGTTTTGCTTTTTTTTGGTTTTATTTGTTTTTTTTTTTTTTTTGGGTGGTTTTTTTTTTTTTTTTGGGTGGTTTTTTTTTTTTTTTTGGGTGGTTTTTTTTTTTTTTTTGGGTGGTTTTTTTTTTTTTTTTGGGTGGTTTTTTTTTTTTTTTTGGGTGGTTTTTTTTTTTTTTTTGGGTGGTTTTTTTTTTTTTTTTGGGTGGTTTTTTTTTTTTTTTTGGTTTTTTTTTTTTGTTTTGTTTTGTTTTTGTTTTTTGTGTGTTTTGTTTTGTTTTGCTTTTTTTTTGGTTTTATTTGTTTTTTTTTTTTTTTTTGTTTGCTTTACTGTATATATAAATACCATATCCCAGTCTCTGAAATAGACCTGGCTTTATTTAAGTAAGATTCTTTGGTCTTCTGAGTTGTTCAGTTTCTCACTGGGCTTTGGAATAAGTTTTCAAAACTTGTCTGGTGAAACAGGATGTTTTCTTAACAGGCATAGGTAGCTGGAGGAATTTGCAAAAGATAGAAGTTGTTCTTTTAAAACAATTTTATAAAGTGGGTAGAATTGTAAATTTGAGAGCTCCTTTGCCCATTGCTCAGGCTTTTTCAGTTTCTGCCTAGAAAGTTTATAGAAATTGAGGAATTCAGAATGCAGATATAGCCACAGGCTGTCGTTGTGTGCACGAGGAAGAATGGGTAATGGAATTAAGAGCAGGGAAACAATAATTGAATAATTGAATTATATATAATAGAAACATTTGTTATGTAAGTTCTCTTGATCCTGGTGTTTTTCATAGAAAATATAAGTGAAACTTTAAAGCAGTGTATCATTTTCTTAGCTTATTGTACAATAAAAGTTAAGAAGAATGGAACAGCAAGAATTGAAGTAATGTAGAAATGTGTTCATAAGCACTTGGCACTACTGCAGTTTATCACAAAAGCAGAAGAGCAGTAATGTTATAAAGGCAACTTTTTTAAAATGTCATTGCTTTTACTTTATTTTCTAGACTACTTTGCATGTGCAGAATTTTCATTTTTATTGTTAAGATGAAATTGATATGACTGGCAACATTAAACTATTGATATAAATATACCCAAAATTGCAGCACTGCAATGTTGTTATTGTGTACCAATGCAACACTGCTGCCAAAATTTTAGGTACATCTTGCTTACAGTTAATAACATCCATAAAATACTTCCTGTGTTGATTAGTATATTGAGAAATAACTTTTTGTCATATTTTTGTTCAGTGCGTTTTGATACAAATATTCCATACTACAGGGCATTTTTTTGAGCATGTTGTTTATTTACTTGAGGAGTACACAAGTGGCAGTGCTGCAGGGTTGCTCTGCTGATCTTATGCTTCCAAATGTATTAGCTGTAAAAATTAGTTAAGATGCTCACAAACAGGAACATAAGTTGGCGATTAAGGACCTGTTTTTTGCAGCTGGTTGACAGTGAAGTTGTGATGCTTTCTGCACACTGGGAGAAGAAAAGGAGCAGTCTGGTGGAACTGCAGGATCAGCTTCAGCAGATACCAGGGTTCTTAGCAGATCTGGAATGCCTCACAGCAAGCCTAGGTAAGTTCTTATAGACATAACAAACATTCAGATCAGTACAGAGGATTAGATTGAAGTTCAGCTGTTGTGAATGTTGTGATTATAAAATTTTGCTTTCTGTGGTAAAACTGTAGTTCTTAAACTACAGTTTTTTAAAAAAACTACTGGTTTTTTTAAAAAATTGACAAGTTGAGTGTGGTTTGAGCAGTGGTTGCTCTCCCAGCAGTTGAAATTTTGTATGTGGTGTTATTTGAAAAAAAATTTGACAAATGTTTGAACAGGCTATTCTTGAAGTCTTATTAAATTGTTAAAATTTTTTGATAGTATGAATGCTAATGTATATTGCTGCTTCTTTTGGAGTCTGTGTAATTTTACATAATAATGTTTAAAATTATGTTTTGGGGTGGGATAGGGGGGAAAATTTACCTGGCTAGGGACACTTCCAAGGCAGAAGACTTTGGTTTTGAATAATTGTTGGTTCCAAAGGTAGGTTCCATAATTTGAATTAATGTACAGGGTTAAGATATTCTGAAGTGATACTGAGCTTTTCTATAGGTGAATATTAATGCTGCTTATTAAGATTAGCAAACACCTCATGTTTCTTAAGTGGGTTGCAATTTTTAAAACTTTACCAATGGTCAACCTGTTCATTTTATTTAAAAGATGAAAAGATAAATGCTTTGGTGGACTGTTTCTGGAACCTCTCATACAAAATTGTTGATCCACTGTTGAAAATTAAATTAGGAAAAAATGTTGGAGAGTCTTGGTCTCTGAAAGTCTCTGGTATTGATGAGCCTTGAAATGGGCAGGCAGAGTTTGGCAAGCAGCAGCCCTGTCTGTCCACACCACGTCTCTTGATGCTTCCATGAAAATCTGTACGGGGTGCATCAAATTAAAGCTTTGAAAAACTGCTTCTGCAAATAGATTTTAGGTAGCAAAGTTCCCCAAGGACTGTGCTTGCACTTCTCTTTCCTATAGCAACTGGGAAATATGCAGAAATTCCTCATGTGATTGCAGCTCTGTTTTTTTGTGGGGTGGGCTGGATTTAAGTGCTGACGCAATATGGAGAAAAGGAGGGTTATTTTCTGTCTTCAAGGGCTAATTTCTCATTTTGCTATGGTCAGTGGTCATGCACAAATCAGCTTTTGTTCCTAGGTAGGCTGGTAACAACTTTGCTATTTATTCCTGAACCAGGGAATGTATTCTACTTTTTATTACAATTTTCTTATACCGTCTTGTTTAATAAGGCTTTATCATCTGTGCTAACCATTTAATATTGGCTGTTTGAAAAAAAAATTCTAAGGACATAGAAGTTCAAATAATGATTTATTAAAATACTGGGTTTAATATTACCATGCAGTCCACTGGTAGCCCAAAGATAAACAATGTAATAGAAAGCTAATGAAATTTCCTTTATAGTTCATAATGCTGCAAAAGCTGTAAAATCCTAATGAATTTGGGCTACTTCGTGATTCCTAATACAGTTTCATGAACTAGAATTAATCTCACTCTGATTGTGCAATTGGTTGGATAGGTATGTCTCTAGATATTTTTTGATACTGCAAAAGTAGGATTTAAGGAAGTATTCAGCAGCCTGCTCAGAGAAGCTAATGAATTTTGAAATGTACTGCTATGGTTCTCAGATTTGAACCAAACTTTCTAGCTTTTCCTTTTGTGTCAGATTCTAAGTAATTTATCTAAAATTTCTTATTAGTCTCTCCTAACAACTGTGTTTTGAGTTTTATTTTTTCTTCTAATAATTTTTATGGAGTCTATTTGAAGAGAGAGATGTAATTTGTACCAAATGCAACATCTAACCTTCTGAAGGTGATTTAACAGAAATTTACTGCAATATTCTGCTCATTGTTCTTAGTTTTTATAACTAACTTACTAGCTGCTTCATATAAATAGAGACTGTATTCAGCTTTTCAAGAGATGACTATTACTCTGACTGTAAATTTTGAATATGAGTAAAATATTCTGTAAAAAAAAAGTGAAAATAGAATCACAAAGAGCTGGGTTATGCACTCAAGATGTAATTTGGCTAACCTTCATAATTTCAATGAAATAGTTGTTCTGACATGATGTGCTTCTAATAAATCTATTAATACTTCCATTTTGAAAGTAGATAGGGGACCTTGGCTACTTTCGGTGAAAGAAATTTCAGATAATGAAAATGAACCGGTTTTTTTTACCTACTTAAAATTGGTATGACTCATGTACAGATTCTTTAGCTTTTGCTATGTATTACAAGACACATTTTCATTAGCAATTTTATAAAGTTCTTTAGCTTAGGTATTCACATTCTCAGTCATCCCTCACTTGAAGTTGAAAATCTGTATCTTCATTTGATAAATTTATTGTATTATGCAATGTCTTGTAGCTGCTACTGAGAACTTGGAATAAAAAATTACTCTCATGTAAAAGTGAAAAGGACAGTTATTGCCCTTTCAAAATACAGAATTGGAATTATCACTTCAGCGAGTTTTTAGTTGCAATGTTGTAGGAAATATCTGCTCGCTAATATCAGCGTACTTAGTATGAAATGTGTTTTCATGTTGAAAATGTTTTACTGGTGGGACTGGGAAGAAATTAAGCCTGGCATGTAGTCATAGAGATAAAAGTCTTTGCCTCTTAGTCTTCAGGGTTGGTTTTGTTTTTGAAGTGAGGGCTAGATGGGTGTGAAAATTCATTGGGGAAACAGAACCTTTTGCACTGCTTAGGACAAGTATCCTTGTTTATATCTTGAGTAAAAGGTCAGTCTTTTTTATTTCAGATTGTGTATCACGTATGAAATTTTCTAGCTTTGCAAAATTTGTCTAATTTTTTCAGAATTTATCTTTTACTGAGAAAATTGGGGAAAATGTTGGAAAGATTTATGTAAAACTAGGGAATTTGAATAATACTGTGTAAAGACAGCTATGTTCAACAGGGAAATTTTCTCCATAGGCTTCAGGGCACAACAGTTCAGCAGGGGAGGTTGTTGTATTAGGTAGGGATATGTATCTATAAGAGGTATACAGTTTGGTGCTGTAAAGTTGGAAGTGCCTGAGGATTGAGTGCACAAGGAAAATATCCTAGTGTACTCGCTATGTAGTTTCAGCAAAGAAGCTGCTTTAACTTCATGTGTTATCATACTAGCTGGGTTTACAATCCTTTCTGTAAAAACAGGTAAAAATTGAGCACCAGTAGAACTGTAATTATATAAAGTTGGCTTTTTTGGTTGGTTTTTTTTTGTTTGTTTTTTTGGGTTTTTTTTTTTTTGTTTGTTTTTTGGGGTTTTTTTTGTTTTGTTGTTTTTTTTTTTTTTTTTTTTTTTTGTTTTTTTTTTTTTTTTTTTTTTTCAGCTGAATTGAACTCTTCCTGTTCATATATGTTTTCACTGCTCATTTTAAGCTTTTTATCTCTGCCTTTGTGTGGCCTAGAGGTTGAGGGAATATCTTTGATAAAATTACTTCCATCATTTCTACTTTTTGCCTTTTAGTCAGAAAAATAAATGAGCTTTGTAGAAATGTCTTTAATACTACTGCTTGGTTTCTGTTGCTTGAGTGGCTAGGACAGTGCAGGAAAGCTACATCTGAAGTTAGTGGAAACCTATTTTCTGACATACAGCTGTGATTTAGCTATTCTAACAAATTTTGTACTCATACAGAACTACAAATAACATAGGTTTCAATTAGAAAAGTTATGTGGTAAATTTAAAATAGGTACACTTTAGAAAGAAAGTGTTTTCTGGATAATAAAAATCTGTGGTTGTTGAGTTCTAGGTAAATACTTTAATACCTGATAGCTGGTAAACCATGGAAAACAGTGTATGCTGATAGAAGATAATGCAATGTAATGTCACTGTGTAATGACCAAACTTTAAACATACTTCAAAAGAATTAAAACTAAAAATTAAAGTTTCAATTAATTTTGTTATGCTTGTGGTAATGTAAGAAATACAGCCTAAAGTGCTATAATTGGAATGACATGACCCAACGAAGAAGAGGGTTTTTTTCCAGCTGTCTAATAAAAATATCCTATTTCTACCAAGTGTGACATATTGCTATACATGAAAATTCTTAATCTAAAGGTAATTTTTTTTTTAAATCTGAAAAAGATTTAAAGGAGATGGTGTTTTTACAGCCTAAGTTTCAAATTTATTAAACCCATAGTTTTGTTTGGCACTGCCTTTGTATGCACAGTGCCTATATTCTCTTTTGGGTAAGAGAGATGTTAATTCTCAGCTGTAGCTGGTGCAATGGAGCTTGTCTTCAACTTTTTTTTTTTGTGAAAAGCAATTTTTATTTCACTTCAGAAAGCTAAAAAACTTCTGAAACCTCTGTTGCAGTAAAGCAGGATTGTTGCCTCCTGGAGAGATCTCTGCTGTCCACTCCTGTTCTTCAGGAGCACAGTGTTTTCTGCAATTCCCGCTAGAGGCTGCTCAAATGCAAGTGCTAGGGATCAGTTGCTCTCTTGAATTCACTTTTCTTCATCCTCTTTATTTTCCTGTCCTTTGTTGTTGTCTTTTAATATTACTTCAACAGCAAATACAGCAAAGCAGGTGGTGGGTGTTTTTAAGTGGAAAAAACAGTGTTGATAGGTACCCTAGTAAATTATTTTAAGTCCTGCTGGGTTGAGAATTTTGCAGATTAATAAGGGAGCAATTATTCTGAAAAGCAAGTTAGCACAATACAGGTATTTGGATTTTAATGCACTCAGAGAAGTCTATTTCTTAAAGAAAAAGGGCCTACCAATCATAATTGTAATCATGATATTATGCTTTGAATACATCTGGATTTTGTGAGAGAAAATTGAGTAAACAATGAATGTTCCACATCACAATATGTAGAACTGAAAACATTTTTTTGTCTCAGACTTGTTTCTGCATTAATTGTCAACTGCCGTCAACTGCCTTTCTTTTTTGTTTGTTTGTTTGTTTTTGCCAATCCCTCCTGCTTCCCCTCAGTATTCTCTATACAGAAAAATAATTTAGGGAAATTTTTACTGATTACATGATTCATGTTTCCCTTTCCTGTTGTAGATCTTCTTTGTTAGGGACTAAAAAAATGGTGTTAAGTGAAGCTGAACATACAAATATGCATCCTAGGAAATTTGGTTATGAAGTCTTAACTTTTGCTTTTTTAGGGGAACCAGAAGGATGGCTATTTATAATGAAGCAATGGCTAAGGAAGTTGAAATTATTTATTGTCCAATATAGGCTTCAAGTAGAATGGCCAAGCCAAAATGAAGGATTTGACTGATGCCTTCAGCTTACTGTTTCCTTTTTTTGAGTGTCTGAAATACGTTAACTCTGGCTGCTATTTGTTTGTAAAAATGAGAATTATTCTTACTTCTGCAATTTACCTTCTGGTATAGGAGAAGGCCTGGCAAAAAGATGAATAATATTCCTGTAGTTCACACAGTTTCATCCCAGAGTGGCCAGCTGGTTAGGGTTTGGGAAAATAGATTTTCCACTGTGAAATTCTGACGAGAGACATGAAATTTAGCATTAATCACTGTCAGGGAAAGGGATCCTTTGATATGAGGTTCACATGGGTTAATTCAGATGAGGGACCTCAGGAATTGTCTAGTCCAAATACCTACTCAAAGCAATGTGAGCGGTGAGATGAGATCAGTTTTCTCAGAACATGTCACAGACAAGATCTGTTTGAAGTTGAGCAGTTATGTTTAAAGACAAGATTAAGAGATGTGTATGTAAAATAGGTAGATTTAATTGTAAAATTTACATGTGTATGTAAAATAGGTAAATCTCTATATTTAGCCGTCAGTACAGGGTCCGTCTTCAGAGACATAAATATATGTTCTTTTGTATTACCATGGCATCATGTGAAAGTTAAAATTCTCCTTGTATGCTTTATTTTTGTTTAATTTGAATAAATAAAGATTTGATCTGGCTTTGGCTTGCACAGTTTTATTCCTTGGATTGGTACTGTGTAGGAAGTGCTAAACTGTTAGTGTGCTCAAGAAGGAAAAGTATGAGTCCTGAATGCTTCTCTTCCTTAAATACAGGCCAGGAGCCTGTGTCACCACGATGCTGGGACAAATAGAATTGTTCAGCACCTTACTACAAGGGAACCTCAGATAGATCTCCCTTTAACGTGGCTCTGCTGCCACTCTTCACTCTGGGATTTGGGCTGAGATTTGTTTATCTTTTGGAGCCATTTATGTGTGTGTAATTATCACAATGTTAATTATTTACCTTTATGAAATCCTGTTTCTGTTCAGATGAGTTTTCTGTCTATTGATGCAGTTTGATATTCATACAACTCTTTCTTACAGCCCAGCTAGAGGCAAACTTTGAGGAAATGGAGAATCATCTGTTGTGTCTTGAGGAACTATGTGAGCAGTGTGAATTGGAAAGGTACAAATGTATGCAAACATTACAGCTGGAAAACTACAAGAAAACAAAAAGGTAAATAAAACACTTGCTATAAATTAGCATACAATATAAGTCTTTTGTAATTAAATCCCCCCCCCATATAATCCCTTTTATTTTCATCTTGTAAAGAAACAATAGTCTTTGACAGGATGTTGCAGATTTGTAGTAGATTCATCATGTGTCTTAGTGATGAACAAAAAGTACATGTGTTTGGAAACGTTGTTAAGGTTAAGTCATGTTTATTATTCTGCACAAAGAATTGGAATAAGGGCTGATGTTAATAAGCACAGATAAACTGTTGTTTTTTTAATCCCTTGCCCTGGTTTGTAGATTCCTTTTTTTTTTTTTTTCCCCTCCTGTCAGGTTAGGAACTGAATTTTCCTCTATTTTCATTTCAGTTCTATCAGTATCCAATCCTATAAGTACCTTTTACTCTGTATGAAAAGTGTTAATCTCCTGCCATTCTCTTACTTGTAAAAGCAGGGCATTAATTCTTGGAATCAGAATTAAACTTACAGCAGAATGTATGAAAATTCAGAACTTTGTACTCGTGAGCTTCAGGTTAACCTAAAAGATGAAGTAGCAAGAGAAAAATATTAAGCCCTTAAATAACTTAAACTGTTGACTTCTTTGATTTTTGTTTCCACCAGTGCCAAAAATAACCTAATAAAAGGAGATAAGAAAAGCAGTATTACATCCATTATATAAATTAGGAAATGAGGAGTTGAATTGAAGCAGTTTGTCAAAGACCGTATCTGACAGCCTGTTAGGGAGGGGTGGGTGAATGTGGATGTTGACTGACATGGGGATAACCAGGTTACTTGATCTGTCCAGGCAGGAGTCCTGCTGTTAGCCAGGGGAAGCACCCTGGCTCTCTCCTTGCCTCCTTGATTGTGGAAGCAAGTTTGATACATGTGGTAAGATCAGAACAAGTGGTTCTCGCAGCTCTGATGAGGATGTGGTGATCGAGGGTGGGACTGTGCCAGAAAGTACTGGCCACATTTTCCTTGGCTTATCTGTGTTCACCCTCTTTGCCATTCTTGTTGCTCTTTCTATTTGAATGTTTTTTTTAAATCTAAGTCTCTTCCCAAAAGATCTATTCACCCTGACTGTTTTTTCGCTACTGGTTCTCAGTTATGTAGGGAATCTTAGCCTTCTGTGGTGTTACAGATCCGGTTACTGAAGGAGTGCTGATGTTGCAGGTTCCACTTCCCAAAAAGGTCTCCAATACCTTAAAGATCCCCCTTCAGTTTTCTGTGAAATTTGGCTGTTTCTTATCTAACTCCCCTTTAAACACTTGTGAAATCCTGTCATCCCTCATGGTCCTATCTGTGGCTTTTGTCAGTATCTTATCATGTTATCTGTCACATCTGGCAATTACTCATGTCATGTCCCTTTAGTTTTTCACATCCTGTTCGGTTGTCTTAACCTCAGGCCAGGGCCTCAGCAATGGTCTGTAATTTTCCTGCAGCCTGGATTTTCTCTTTCCCAGGTCAGGGCAATTCCATATTCTCTCTCCAGGAAGAATCAACAGCAGTCAGTATGGCTGAATATTCACTTTTTCAGACTTACTTGAGTAATCTAAGTATCTAAGAGTAATAACTCCAAAATTCTAAATATGTGCTATTTAACCACATAACACAATTTTAAAATGCATATAAAGCAACACATTTGGTGCTGTATAATTATCTTTCTACAGTTTTCTGAATGGTTTTTTTGTTCTCTGCTATCCTTGCTTCCTTTCTCCTAGCGACTGCTTTCAACATCAAAATAAAGTGTTAAAACATTGCCTGCTCTGCTTAGCAGCATCTAATCAGTTTTATAAATAGAATGCTAAGCAAGCTACTTAGTGTAATTGTAAGCTGATTACATTTGGTCAGACCTAGACAAAACAGGAAAAATGCAGGTAATTTCTGGTTGATCATTACCACTGTATTTATTTAGGTAAGAAATTAATTGCTAGCTCATTACAGGAAGGACACTTGCCAGTGTAGGTGCTTGAAGAGCGAGCAGCCGGTTAACTTGATGTGAGTGTGATTTGTGGTGCATGTTTGGGACTCGTATCCTGTCTTCCTCTCTTTAGCACTTGGGGTTTTTACTGTGATACCAACTGAAAGCATCAAGGAGCGGGGAGGGGTCAGGAGTCTATGCTCTCTGTTTGGCACAGAAATTATTTTCAGGGAGTAAATGGTTTTGTGTTTGAAAAAAAAAATTTCATGTGTTTTGACAGTATAGGGATGAAAACTGAGATGAATCTGAGCTCTAGAAACTCTGATTATTTTAAGCATGTAACAAAACATAATTCCATTACAAAGTCACTGTAGAGCTTAGGCTAGAAGCTCATGTATTTCAAATCTTTTGAAAAAATCCTATATGAAAGACTTAAAAGAAGGTGCTTTAGGTCAACATCAAACCTATGAAACACAGCTTATGGTAACTGCGGGAACTTATTTTAAGAAATAGGTCTCCCTATTTAGAAGACCAACTTCAGTTCAGACAGATTTTTTTCCCTTTTGTCATTGTGTTGAGTGCCAATTTCAAAGTAGATTCATCAATCTGCATCTTTTCCAAGCTATTTAAAAGCCTGGTGTTTGGGAGGATTGGTTTTGGGGTTTTTTTTGTAAACTTATCTCTGGATATTTAATATTCTCTTTTTTGTGTTTAAATCCATTGATCAGGGTACCAGTACTGTTGTATGAAGTCTAGATTCCACCCTTGTTTTCTGTGGTTAGTCTCTCTGCAATTGTTTGGATGTGTTAGCATTAAACCATGTAATTTTGTTTCCCGTCTTTTTTCAATCAAGAACAATTCTTCTTCCCTTTCCTTTATTCTCCTACTGAGGATATTCTGATTGCGGAAAACTTTGTGTCTCTTTAGTCTCATGTGGCAATTTTTGCTTTCCCAAGTACACAGTGTCCTTTAGGAATCACTGTCAGGAGCTCACTTTTGTGTCATCTATTAATGTGCCCTGAACGGCAGCCTTGTGGTGTAACATAAAATGTTTCTGACCTAAAGCTGTACGTGCCATGAAGCTCATCGTGCCATTTGTATCCATTTCAGAGAGATCACCACATTTTGAAAAATAGCAACTCCTGATTGTTGTGTCAATTAAAAGGAGCTGCCCAAATGCAGCATTTTGTAGGAATACATTGGGAATAGCAGGGTCCTTGTCACTGGAAATGAGTGAATAGATTTTACTGTATGTGTTTGACTGAAAACATAATTGTTTGAATGATAATTTTTTAAGATGTCTTTTTTAAGAACCTGCTCTGTTGTTCAGTATTTGTCAGCTTTGAAAACTGACATAGAAGGAAAATAAGTTTAAAAATCTAAAATACAAACCTTAGTGGGACTACTGTTTTTTCCTGTTTGATGTTATTTAAGAAAATGCTTTACTTGAAGAAAAAATAAGTTCTTTAAATTTGTGTTTATTCATAATTTTTGAATTTTGGAGGTTTATTTGTAGTGTAACCCCATGCTTTCATAATTAGTGCAGTAGGTGAGGAGTTGGACAGACTGTCATAGTTTTTGTTGGATGCATTGCCATGCCATGATGGTGCTTTAGTGCTTCTGGGGGAGAAGAATGTTTGATTTACTTTCTCTTTCAGAAGAGTATAAAATTCATGGCAATTGCATTGTGTAGATTAGAGATGTGTATGAGAAAATGTCTTAGTTACTGTTGTTTTCTTCTGTAGACTTTATCCCTCTTTTTAATTGCTTTGGGAACAAAAGGAACAGTAAGAGTTGTTGGATGTAGGTACAGTGACTTATCTGAGGCCTCAACAACATAAACATTTGAAAAGCAGATACAAAAAACTTCCATATCTGTCACTCGTTTAGATCCCATAGCATTCTTCAAGCAATAGGCTGGGACAGTACTCTGTACTGTACAGCATCTTCAGTGGTGATTCCCTCCCTCCTGGCAGTGATACATTTACATTTTACCTTCATAACCCTTTCAAGCTTTACATACAATTTATAAAATTTACTTTTTATATGTTAAAAAGTGTATGTGCCCCTTTGTAGCAGATGTTTCAAGCAAAAATATTTTTCCTTCCAATGTTAAGTGTACTGTGAATTATTTTTGAGACCTCAGCTACATGTTTCATAGTTTCCATCAGTGTAAATTTTCATGCCATACTCTTTTTGATCAGCCTTCTAGTGGTATAGATTTGGAGCTGCTATACCTCTGTATAAGTTGGTACCTAAATAAACCTTTTTGCAAGATTGGATGCAGAACTTTTGTTATCTTCAGGATTTTTCATGGCAGATGTGCAGTGGATGACTGGCTTTGAGTTTTCATTAGGCATTGTATGAGTTTCTGTACTTACATTTCAAAGATGTTTTCTATCCTGTTTCATGAGTTTGAATACAGCACAGTCAGCAATATTGTATACAATATAAACAGAATACAGCAATATCATCATGTTTTCATGATGATAACTGGCTGGAATTAATTTTATGGCCATCATTTGTTGCACTGCTTTGGGTAGACACATGGAATGAGAATTCCTATTGATCCTGAAGAGACTTGCACAAGCTTTGGAAGAGTTTCATGGATAATTTTGCTTCCTTTTTTTGTAATTTGAAGGCTCTGAACATTCTTTTGTTTGCAAGAACTCTTGCATTACAGTATTCTGCATATGCCAAACCCAAAGGAGCATGCTGCTTCATTATTAGTGAATTTTACTCCCAGTATTTGGAAACATTGGGCAAGACTGGACACACAGCAGATTTGAAGATTGCAGGGGTTTTGGCAGTTTTTTCTTATTTGCAAAGTGTTAATGTACAGTATAATTTATGTCACTTTTAAGTTGATTTAATTTTGCCCTTTCTCTGGTGATCTTTGCTTGATACAGAGAGACAATGACATCATTACAAAGAGATTTGCTGCTTACCTTCTCCTTATAGTCTTGCTTTCTTTCAAATAGGGAAATAAAAGACTTTTTTCTTTGGCTTTTGTGACCTGTGGTTAAAGACTGAATGTTTATGTTGGATCCTCTGCATCCTACAGCACCTTTTAATAATGTTAT